TGAACAGGCGTGAATCCTTACAAGCTGTCTGCCCTGAAGGATTCAACAAAATCCTTCAGCCCCACCCCGGTCCACCCCGGTCTGCCCTGAAGGATTCAACAAAATCCTTCAGCCCCACCCGGTCCCACCCCGGTCTGCCCTGAAGGATTCAACAGAATCCTTCAGCCCCACCCCGGTCTGACCTGAGGGAGCCAACAGGTCCTCGCTCAGACGGCCTACAACATGAAACTTTACCACTTGGTCTTGGAGCGAGTAATGACACGGCAGAGAGAGAGAGAGAGAGAGAGATAGAGATTCGGTGCGGGGTGACTGACTCGCATCCTACGCCCCGGAGAATAGAATAGAATAGCCACATTTAAAGTATCCTGCAGCATCCGATGTTTTTAAATGCTCTGATATCGTTAAAGCCAAGTCCAGGTCAGATCTCCGAGGCCACGCTGCACTGGGACCCCAGCCTGGCATATGAGATGTGCCGGCCTGATGGATGTTTAGGAGGTTTCGTGGGAGTTTAGGAGATTTGGGGGGTTTAGGGGGGTTTTGGGGGTTGTAAGGTTGTTCCGTTGGGCGGCTGGGAGTCGGAGCAAGGGCGTTGGCTTTCTGGGCAAAAGAGCTCCCCTTCGGGTCAGAAGGGTTCGCAAGGGAAGGCCAGCGGCTTTGTAAGAGACAGGCAAGCAGAGCATTCGATCTCCAGGTGCGACATTCGGACCGTTGGTCCTGACGTCGTGCAGGTAAGCATCAACAAGCACCTGACCCTCGGACGCAAGCCGGATTACCGTAGTTGTCCAGCTGCTGCTCTAGCAGCTTTATTAACTTTAGCAAGTCATGCGACTCTCCGATACCTAGCTTTCTGATTGATAGACCCTTCTTCCATTCATGGATCTGCATTGCCGAGAGGTTCGACGGCAGAGTCTTCTTTTCACATGATGGTCTGGCAGTCATGCAACTTTGCTGCAGTCAGGGGGCCTTCCGTGCATCATGATCTGGCCGTCTGCCATCCGAGGATCTGTTGGGCTGACGGAGAAGTTTGGCAAAAGACACCGCCGCAATGGCATGAGGAAGGCGTAGCTGCGTAGCTTGTGGCTTGTCTGTAGGCGGATTGTCGCCTTCGACGCGTCGTCTTGGTCGCGTGCTGGCGAAGTTTTTCTAGTTGTAAGCACAAAAGGTGCCATGCGTTTCACGCTTCACACCATCAAAATTTCCATAGCAGTCGCAGGCCCAAATAGTCATGCAGCTCTGAAGAAGAAGTGCGCCCGACAAGCAGTTCGCAAAGCGAACGGTCGGCAAAGCCGGTGAGGTGAGGCCCTGTTGCCGCCCGCATGGGCTACAACCTGAAACTTGTGCTAACTTGGTCACAATAGTGGTGCTTCTTGCAGCTACAGAGAGGCTCTGTTGTTCGCGTCACGCATGTGCATCACCTGACTGGGGCCATGGGTGGGCACCTGAGACGAATTGCTCATATTGCCATGGGCAAGCGAAAAAGCAACTACGGTGCGAGACTTTGTCAAGAGAAGCGCCTCCGTAGACTCTGATATTGCTGGGCAGAGCATGGGTAAAGTTGTGCCATGCAAGACCAGGCCAGATTCAGGTTGGTGCCTTTATGCATGGATTTATGCCCCAAACCGCCGAAATCCCAAGTCTCCGTGCCAACATACACAAACGAAGGTCACGACTGAGATGCCAATCAGGCCTCGGCCACGCAGTTTTTCCCCGTCCCTTTCAAGGCAGAGCTGATGAAGCTGAACAAGGAAACCGACACCATGAAGAAAGAGGCCGAGCCTGTGGCTGCTCCTATTGGTAGGCCAAGGGCACCTTTCGTCGCCGCTCTTTGCAGAGGCCCTGCAGGCTGCCGAAAAGGCCGCCCAGCTGTCCCAGCTCCGCTGTTGCTTTTCGGGTTGAGGCTTTGGACCTTTGGAGAGGATACCTAGTGCAGGGCTCTAGGGTGCTGTGGGGTCAGACTCAGCACCCGTCTAGGACCCTAGGATGGAAGGAGAGGCCGCTACTGGTACCAGTGACGCCAGGCGCAGCAGGCCGAGAAGACACGTGATGCTGCCAAGAAGGAAGCCGAGGCCGCTACAGTACATTTTTCATATGAGGGCGCGCCATAAGGGCAGGTGGATGACATGTTCAGCTTTTTCGGCAGCTCTGGGTGGGTCTCTTCGCGACATTCAATGAAGGCCGCGACTTCGAGGCTGAAATCGGCCGATGCCGTCTACAAAGTGGCCAGTTCAGATCCCAGATACCCGTCTCGGATGGGTCTGAACCGGAGACCTTGGCCAACAATGGCCCCGAAGCCGGTGGGCAAGCTCAGGTGAGCACCTGAAGGCCTCAGCCAAGAAGCTCAAGGAAGTCCAGGCCAAGATTCCGGCGGCCGCTCCCTCGGACCATCTCATACGAGTGACCCTTGACACTGCGACCAACATCCCCCCATGATTCAGAGATGATGTTCCTGGAAAAAAAACCGCGAGTCCTTCATTGCAGTAAGCAGAGAGACAGCGCGCCGCAACTTCAAGACACCCAAGAAATTTGCAGTAGCCAGTGATTGCGGCCTTTAAGAGCTACGAAGCAGTCTGTTGAGACCACGTGACAATTTATCCTTGCTGAGATCATGCTGGAAGGCTTGAGGAACATGTGAACGACGGCCTGAGCTGAAGTCAGGCCCATGACAGCATCGATGCGCGAGCTGCGGAGTACCAGGCCTTCTAGCCGAGCGGGATTTGTGGCGAAGCAGGGAGCATTATGCAAAGCCGTACAAGGTCCAGGTGGCATGGACCGGCAGCGAATGATGAGAAGACTGTTCATATTGTCTCATATGTTGTGGGCCTCGGGGAGTTCTCAAAGAGCCGTCTGCATGTCCGCAGGTGAGGTGAGTTCTCCCTTTCCAGAGTCCCCTTTGTGCATGAAACCTCTTCGCAAGTCCCAGCTCAGGCGTCTGAAAAAGCGGCAGCTGCGGCGCAGGAAGCGGCTGACGCTGCCAAAGAGGCCAGCCATAGATGCCTTTCCCTGAAGACTTCCCAGCCTAAGATACCCACCTGTCAGACACTACACCCGAATTTTATCGCTTGCAATTTTGAAAGATCTCGCACCTGCAATCCTCAATGCTGGAGACCCTAGCATAGACTTCTTCTTCTCCTCCGAGCGTGTAGCTGAACCAAGGGAGTCCTGGAAGGGGGCTACGGGCCCACAGCTCTCAATTCCATCGAAGGCTGGCAGGCAGCGGCGGGCGAAAGAGGCGGAGGCGAATGCCGGACTACGGAGCAGGGTTTAGAGGGTTTAGGGTTTACAGTTTATAATGTAAAGGGTTTATAATGTAAAGGGTTATATATATATATATATATATGCAAGGTACTGAGGCATGAAGGATGTGTGTGGTAGACGGCTGGTGGATAAGTAGTAAGAAAGATGCACTCAAGCCTGGTGACCTGTTTGGGGAATTGCTGTCGGGATTGCTGGAGAGTGGTTGATGCCGTGTCCGGAAGACTGGGGAAGTTGTGCTCTGCACGGCGGAAACAGGGTTAGGGTTCCTTTGGTTGGGAGATGTGGGAAGCTGTGCTGGGGGCTTCACTGGGGAAGGGATGACTGGGGCCAACCACTCCTCAAGATATATGAGGGAGGATAGGCCGTTGCCAGCCAAGGGGGGCGCGGATTCCTGCAACAAATCGGAGCGACCCGGTGGGGTTTCAATGGGGCCTTGGAAGGAAGGAGGTCTAGGTGGTGACGGCACATAGCACACCCCATGCCCCGCTATGGAGCGACACAGCCTCTCACTGACACCAGGTCTGATATTCAATTCGACAGGGCTTGCAGGACTGCCCCATGGAAGCATGCCCGGAACAAAGCCGGGCCCGATAACGCAAACTCATCTTCGGAGCTCTCTCGGCTTCAGTAGCAGGCTGCAGGCGCTGCTGCATGTCCGCCGGGTGCCGTTGGGGGTTGTTTTTGCCGTGCCCATTCGGGAGGACGAGCACGCCGCAGCGATAGAGAGTAGCTACGAGTGTGTAGTTGGAGCGCGGCGCGCATCTGTACACGAGGTTTCCTGTGCTTCAGACTTCTTCAGGAGGTTTCTTCAGAAGGTTTGCTGTGCGCTGTGCTTCCGAGTTGTTGTGGGGGTTGCCTGTGCGAGTCATGCAGGGGGGGGAGGTGGGGGGGGCTGATAACGTTCATTTGT